AACCGTAGGCAGAGAGGGAGAAGAGGACAACAAACGAGGGGCTGTGACAAACTGTTTCGTCGGAGTTTCACCGACTCATCAGGAGATATATATATATATATCGTCAAATATATATATCGTCAAATAGAACTGCCCGGTAACCCGTAGGCAGAGAGGGAGAAGAGGACAACAAACGAGGGGCTGTGACAAACTGTTTCGTCGGAGAGAGAGAGAGAGAGAGAGAGAGAGAGAGAGAGAGAGAGAGAGAGAGAGAGAGAGAGACTCTTCAGGCCCTATGGTTGAACGCCATGGAGACCGGTATTTGTTGCTTACTTGTTTGGCTTCACCTCTCTGCATAACTGCATCCTCTTTGAAGACTTGGAGAGATGGTGAATAGAAGACCCAGAATTTGGGGAATTTTGCCGCATCACCACAAGCAATATAGTTGAAAATTTGGCAAACATGCAATCCAGCCTCGTAATACAAACATTAAAAAAAAAAACACGCAAAAAAAAAACACCGAAAAACAGAAACTCAAAAGCACTATAAAACCCTATTCGCAGTAGCTTTCGGAGTTTGCCAAATTTATCTCTGGATTCGATGTTTTTGCCAACTTTTTCATTACTGGTCGAAATACATTGCAACTGAACACAGATATACCCTAAAGCACATATATATACATATCACACGTAAAAGAAAGCTGCCGTAAACCGCTCAAATATGCCTATGACGTCGGCCAAAGGGGGGGTCACCCGCGGGCTGCGAAACGGCCTCAAGACCTGCATCCGATCAGGTAAACAGAGCCCCTGAAACAAGGCTTCAGAGGCCCTGCGCCCGACAGTTGACCGAAGTCAACTGGAAATCAGAATATTGAGGCTCATGAGTCAAAGTCTTCACGGACCCAGTCCAGGCCACCGATCAGACACACACACTTGGTTGTACGCAGGTATCCAGGCAGCATTTGGTCCACGTGGAAGTCTGCAACTGTACGAGATCCAGGCCGTCGGCTGTCAGTCAATCTGAGCCTTCGTACGTAAGAGACCAGAGGCTGGTGAACGGCGTCAACATTATTTATCGACCCAGCCCCTGGGGTCATCATTCAGTCTTGCACTTGCTGCTTGACGCTGGCCTGACGCTGGCTTGAGGCTGGCAAGACACTGGCACTACGCTGCATTGTGCAACGATGAGACTGCTGCTTTCCGTCTGGCGCCCTTCTGCTTCTGGGCGCCGGCTGTCTTCTGGGATGCTGACGTGGCACTTGCCACGCTGTCTTTAGCATTGCTGATGTGGCACATGCCACACTGTCTTCGACGCAGATTGGGGATGCGGCAAGGAGGGAGATCAGGAGCTGTCGGATTGATTGAATGAGAGTTTGGGAAACTTACCTGTTGATGCTGTCGACATTGTGCACTGCAGAGACGTCTTCCTGGGAGATCTGTGCCTACGCGGCACTATGCTGTGATCAGCTCTTGTCAGACTCGTTTCTGCGGCACTGTTTGCTGACGTGGACGTGGGAGACGCCCGACGGAGAAGAGGGGATTGAGGGAGACCTATCTACAAGGAGATTGATGGATACTTTCCACCCTCTAAGTCTAGTCTCCCTACTACCTACTTTGTCCAATGGTTACAAGACATTGCATCACAGATCACATTTCATGATTATTGGAGACAATTATTAGCGCTCAGATATCTTGTATTTCGACACTTGACGAGTTTCTCTCCTGACTGGGTTCATTACAAAACAAGAAAAAAACAAAAAATTCAGGCAAATATGGCAGCTTCGGTGAAAATTTCGCTAATAAACGTTTGTTCACTAATACGCAGGCTGATGAATATAGCAACTGGATTCTATTACGAGTTATGATTGACGGACACAGCAAACAGATTCAATGGCCAGCGGGCACTCCATGTTCCACTCCTGTTCTTGTGCCTGTCAGGACATCAGTCACCACCCCTTCTTGAGACCGGTGTGGTTGTCATGAACCTGGTTGCTTGTTGTCAGAAGACCAACACTCACTCACATAGACTTGCAGGTATGCCCATACATGCACAAGGAAGGGGAGAGAATGGCAGTATCACATCACACAGAAAGAGAGAAACACAGCAGAAGACTTCAGCCATGCGATACGACAGAGTACACTGAAAGTGCAAATCGCTCCACAGAATCCTCACAACCAGTCACAAAGGAAAGCCGAGTAGATGACATCCAGAAAACAAAGTCCACACACAGTATCCACAATGTTTATTAAACTCAGTACCGTTTTGTCAGAATAACCTCAGAGCCATGATGCGCTGCTCAGAAATGAGCAGCGCTGCTTCCCCCAACCCTGAATAACCGCTATCACTACCCCTGAGTCCCTGAAACAACCAGCGCCACCCAGATACTGCCTCCAGAGGGAAGCGCCACCCTGAAACAGGCCTCTGAGGCCAAGCATCTCTCAGAGGATGAAGAAGAAGACCAGCGCCACAGTCTCTGATGAAGAAGAAGTGCCAGAAGACCTCCCAGGTGAAGATCTGCAGCAGCGCCACCTCTCCTGACAAGGATGATCTCTGAGGATGCAAGCTGCAGCTATGGCTGCAGCACCACTACCCGGAAACCCTACTCCTGAGGAGGGTTCAGCAGGGCACCAACTTCTCCTGCTCCCAGCAGACCTCAGATAGCCCAGACCTCTGAACAGCCCCGCGTGCTGTCAGAGAACAGTGAAGGTCCCAGCTATGGCCGACGCTTCGAGGGCCTGGCTATGACTGTGTCCTCCAACGCTGAAGCTGTACCACTCCAGTTCACGCGTTGTGTTGCTACAATGTGCACGGTACCAACTGCCAAAAGCCTCGAACCGACTTCTACAATCCATTAATAGAACTACGCTAGCCTAGACACGACCTAGACCGGACTGACTGGACCGACCGGTACTGTTTCAGTTTCGGCCTCACCGGCGTCTCCCTACCCGGCGATAGGCTATCGTCCCAGTCTAACAGCCTGGGCCTTAGGGCCTGTCTGTGCTAGCGATAGCCCGGGCCTGCTATTCGCAGTTGGGGTAAGTGTAGGAAATTCGAATTAGTGCGGGCCTGAAATTTCCCGAATTTACAGTGTGTCGCTCACAAATTTTCCCCACAGACGCATATCTGGGTTAGACCTCAGCCAAACAAAATTACAAATCTGGCCTACCTATGTTACAGCCTCGACTCGACGGCCGCAGGCTGCAGAATAAGCAAGCCATTGCATGGTTACCATAGGGCTTCTGAATTTCAATCGGCCCATTGGATGGCTCATATGATGGCTACACTTTCTTACTTCCATGGGCAGAAACTGGTAAAAACCGAGAAGCTAGCAGATGACCTGTGGCTCAGTGGTTAGGGCACTGGTTGGAAATGTGCATTGTGGTCTGAGGTTGTAGGTTCAAAACTGCGCACCTCTGTGCAGGACACTGGCGGGCGTTCACATAACGCACAGCCATCTGCACACTCCGTTGGGCTGATGCAGGTAAGGATATAACAGACACTGTGTTGCATACTTCAATGAGTATGGGCAGAACCAAAGATCAACCAATGTAGGATGAGCATATATGCAGCGGAAGTCTGATAAATGGACTGACTCACATAGACTGACTCACATAG